AATATCAAAACCAGAATTTAACAGGAAATGTACAACATCGACACACTGTAATCGGCTTTGAAATCTTCTGCAATCACTCCTCATGAGGAACAATAGTCAGAGTTTCAAAACAAATGTCAAGTCAGTGAATTCTTCTTCAAGAATCAGAAAATGTGTGACACATTAAAGATTTCCCATAAGTTACAGACTTTATCAACAGCTGTCCTAGCTCCTTATTCAAAGCCAAATGGCCAGTTGAAATCAACAAAAGAAACTGTAGGAACGAACTAACCAAGAACATATCACTCACCAGATATGTTCAGAAAACTGACGTTGCGTGCGACACTCGCCAAGAAGACCCATATATTACATCGCCACCTGGTCGTTGTTCCGGTGGAACTTGTGTACGATACGATGAATCAGCCGTCGGGCGATGATATGAAGCACATCGCGAGAATAGAATATATTGATAGTCTCAGAACCTACAAAAGAGGACCGAAGAGAGTGAGAGAAGTGGAGAGGTGCTTTGAAGCCCCATGTTCTAATTTGAGCCAATAAAAATAATTATAGTAATGACAGAGCTGGTGAGAATAGAGTAAGATTGAGGTTAACGATGATGAGGTTAACAAATGATGATGGCCGTGGCTGCGTTAGAGGGACGAAATAACTTTCAAGTACAAATTCACTTTCGTATTTCATTCGAGAATTCGATCATCCTGAAATTCTAATGTTGAATTTCGCCTCATAATGATTCGTTATTTTATTATTAAAATACCGTCTCCTGTAATCAAAGTTGTTCTCAACTTCGATAACGAAAAGACATCGCCGTGAAAATTATGGGATACCACCTTAGTTCGACAGTGTTCAGCACTACAAAACAGTGATCAGTAAGCAGACAAAGATTGCACGTTTCGAAATACGAAGTACTCGGAGTGTAAGATTTATTTGAGATTTACACAACACAGTAGTCAACGTGGTGCTCGTCACCATTCAGTAGCATATACGGAAACGAAAACCTGCTTGACATAATAGAAAACATATATACGGCTAAGATTTATGAAATACGTTCAAACTACTCACGGATATCAGCGTATGTCAACTCCTGTTTAGAAAATAATACAATTGAATGTCATGTAGCTTTTAGAAGGACGCGTGGATTAAACAAATTGACTGGCGTGAAAATTCCTATTACTCTATTCTGTTGAAAACACACAAGATAAGTGGAGAATCGAATTACGGATTTACTGCAATATGCATCACTCAACTTTTTTTATGAGATTATATTGAATTTGCGACAACATCACTTCTAAACACCCACAATTTGAATGCAACAAAGATCCCATACATTCGGATTTTCACCTATTCACTATCTGACGTCAAAATCTATCCCCCAACTTTCGATAAGTGTGCATCGAGTTTTGCAGTAACATTCACACCTAAGATCACCTACTCGTAATTCTGACAAAATTACCAGCATGCTATCTAGAATTAAGACATACAAATGACTAGCAGAGAAATTGGCCTAAAATGACTCATACATACGTCCAGACACACAAGAAGATATTCATTGTCGAAGATCCGAGACTAATCCATTAGAAGAGTATGACGAATACTATATCACATTCTCCTGTATAAGTACTGACGAGACAACAAGACGCACAGTCATAATTCATCATATAATTCATGAATCAGGCGCCTGTTAGCATGAATATTGACGAATCAGTATCAATATCATGTTCATAACAGTTTTGGAGAAACTTACAGAATACCAATTGTCATCGAGCTCATCAGCCGTGCATCCATACTAACTCATTTCAGAAAGCCGAATCATTTCAAACCATCTGAACGTAGCATGTCTACTTCAATAAACCAATTATTCACACAATACAACAACTGATTTTTTGTGAATTACTTAATCCGAGGTAGGAAGTGACTGAAGCTTCCCTTGTCAACAGAAAAAAATTCAAGTCACGGAAGTGCTTAATGGTTGCAAAGACTTCGATTTTTCACTTGTGAGCTTATAACTACACAAAAACAGAATGGTGTGTCGGTGGTCGAATCGAAAAATTCTCCATAGAAGCGGGTTATATCTAGGTTCGAATATGGCGAAACGACAACGCTTATATAGAACAATATTGTCAAAACAAAAAGAGAAAAAAAAGTACAAAAAATAATTAAAGTATACCGGGGCCTAAAAAAGGAAAATATATACTTTCATATCAATACATATAGACAATTATGGGCATCAGTCTGATTGGGATAATGTCGGAATCTTAGACAGAGGAAACACCAAATGTGCAAGGGAATTCCTGGAGCAGGGTAGTTAAACGAAAATGCAAATAGAAATTTTAAATCATTTCACTATATGAGGAACACCCCGGAGAAGAAGTTGTCGAGAAGGACGACGAAAGCTAGGCAAATTAACCAACAAGCTCAGAGAACACAAACAAATAACTCCAAGTCAATTAGCAAATAAATATAAGGCTAAGAAGACCAGATAGTTGAGAAACAACACATCACAGACACAACATCAGTGCTACAGAAACCTCGGAGCCTGATCAGGACTACCAGAATATGAACGGAAAGTAGAATAATGATCGACACGAATGAAAATGCAAACACAATGTTTCAATTAGAAGCTTTATGAGAACATTCAACAATTTGCCTGTTATTATTCAACTTGTCAATTATTCGCCTGCAGAGATGGTCATTGTGACGGAGTGTCCTTGTTTCTCGGAAACGTGAAACCAAATCATTACTTATTTGCAATTACTGCCAATGCATTGCCTCCCATTTTTCTGACTCAATCCTTTCTTCTTATTCTTCTTCGCGCTTTTGTCACTATCTTCACAATACGGTGCTCCGTTCGGACAATCATCTTTGATAACTCTTGTGTAATCGACAATATCTTCAAAATAAAGTAAGTAACACAATGCATGTTAGATTGAAATAAATAATTATACTGAAACAACAAACCTATTGTATATACACTTCCATGTGATGGAGAATACAATGGAATGAGAAACCTATTGAACTAGAGGCGTAACGCTGCTCAGAAAGGCGTTATTTCCATTGAGCAATATAAGCAAGAAGTGCTGTGTGCTCGATGTGTTTGAGTGAATGCAACGTCAACTAATTAAAATTAGCCGGGTGTCAATATTGGATGTTTGCATGGAGTCCTCGTCAAGCATTTCGCGTTATACCACTTGTTACTATGATTTACTGGGTCTTGTTAACTAGTAGGCTGATACTTTTAGAATTCAAAAACTTCACAAGAAAAGTAGAGTTGAAATGAAGAACACTGCAGTATATTTTATATGAGCTACTCATTCCATTACGATTAGTCATTGCGTGAAATTTACACTTCCAACATTTGAAACTATAATTAGACAAATCGGATACCAGTTTACGTTACAACAAGAAATCCCACTGGTTCACATTGATCGTCGTAAAATAGTTGACTGTTCATGTGATTGAATAACAAACGTGTGGATGAGTTCATTTACATGAATCGTATGTTATCTCATTTTCATCGGTATAAAATAATATCGCAATGAAATCTAACCTATTCAGAGATATATCACTGTAATAAACTCCACATGAAATACACTTCTGCGAAGACGAAAGCTTACCATAATCTTCATCCAACCTGACATATTTGAGTGATACGAAAAGGAGTAGTGCGAAGATGATCACTTTCATTGTTGTTGTGAAGATGAAGATTTGTGATAACACGTTAGAAGAAGAATGAGCTTGTGCTTAAACCATGGTTCAATTGTTCCTTTATATACACTGAGTTTCGAATCATTTGACAACTTGCACCATGAAGTGTTGATCAGCGTCATTAACAGTCATTGTCTTCAGAATCCAGAATTTAGTACAACGTTGAATTGACAATCGGCGTGGGCTCGAACCCCGGACCATGTGCACGGACGGCGAGAGTCCTAACCGCTGTGCCACCGACGCACAGTGAAGTCCTTTGCTACTAACATGGGACTTCAACACATGATCTTTAATCTTTGCATTAGTTCTCACCTAGATCCACGACTGAAACCAAGCTTTCGTTTCCCCTTCAAGTGGAATCTTCTATGTCACTGTCTGCCCAATCCCAACTGCACATTTCCCGATTGTGTTACAATTGAAAAATTCCTGGTATGAAATATCACTAAGTGGCCCCCCGTATATGTTCTGGGTAATAGTTTGTTAGTTGGTCAAGCTCAAGAGCTCCTCGTCGCATTATTTTTCTTTCCGACATTTCATCTTCTATTGAGTATCGAGTGAAAACATATTCTGACAGAAGTCCGCAGCATTTCGTATTACCTGAGAGCTGATTCTGTGAAACACTTTTATCCGACATATATTTATGCAATCAGTTCATAGTCACACTATTTGGCTGGGATGATGATAAGTAAACAAACCTCTTATCGATACAACAGTTGCAATAACGATGTGTTTACAGGCATTGCTATAGCATAATAAGCTAATGCTATTACTTTTTGTATTTCACATTGCGAAAAGCAGATTTGTACTCACCTTTCAGAACTCTTGGCTTTTTAAGGCCATATCTGATTGTCTAAACTTGATTTCATATTCTTCGTTGACTGGTGACAAGTGTTATCATTTATGAGAAGGGTGATGAAGGCATCTAACATATGCTCATATAACGTGTTATGTTATGTTATCAAAACTGTTGATATTTGATTGTTATATTTTGAGAATGAATGATTTCGCTGATCTCTTTGTCATTCATCTGTTTTTCTAGAAAGATATATTTATATATGTACACATGTATATAAATGACGGTAAATATGCGCACACATACAACTACACTCGTGAGTTGAGGTCTCATCCGGTTGAAAGTTGACACTTGACTGTCAATTCAACGTTGTACTAAATTCTGGATTCTGAAGACAATGACTGTTAATGACGCTGATCAACACTTCATGGTGCAAGTTGTCAAATGATTCGAAACTCAGTGTATATAAAGGAACAATTGAACCATGGTTTAAGCACAAGCTCATTCTTCTTCTAACGTGTTATCACAAATCTTCATCTTCACAACAACAATGAAAGTGATCATCTTCGCACTACTCCTTTTCGTATCACTCAAATATGTCAGGTTGGATGAAGATTATGGTAAGCTTTCGTCTTCGCAGAAGTGTATTTCATGTGGAGTTTATTACAGTGATATATCTCTGAATAGGTTAGATTTCATTGCGATATTATTTTATACCGATGAAAATGAGATAACATACGATTCATGTAAATGAACTCATCCACACGTTTGTTATTCAATCACATGAACAGTCAACTATTTTACGACGATCAATGTGAACCAGTGGGATTTCTTGTTGTAACGTAAACTGGTATCCGATTTGTCTAATTATAGTTTCAAATGTTGGAAGTGTAAATTTCACGCAATGACTAATCGTAATGGAATGAGTAGCTCATATAAAATATACTGCAGTGTTCTTCATTTCAACTCTACTTTTCTTGTGAAGTTTTTGAATTCTAAAAGTATCAGCCTACTAGTTAACAAGACCCAGTAAATCATAGTAACAAGTGGTATAACGCGAAATGCTTGACGAGGACTCCATGCAAACATCCAATATTGACACCCGGCTAATTTTAATTAGTTGACGTTGCATTCACTCAAACACATCGAGCACACAGCACTTCTTGCTTATATTGCTCAATGGAAATAACGCCTTTCTGAGCAGCGTTACGCCTCTAGTCCAATAGGTTTCTCATTCCATTGTATTCTCCATCACATGGAAGTGTATACACAATAGGTTTGTTGTTTTAGTATAATTATTTATTTCAATCTAACATGCATTGTGTTACTTACTTTATTTTGAAGATATTGTCGATTACACAAGAGTTATCAAAGATGATTGTCCGAACGGAGCACCGTATTGTGAAGATAGTGACAAAAGCGCGAAGAAGAATAAGAAGAAAGGACTGAGTCAGAAAAATGGGAGGCAATGCATTGGCAGTAATTGCAAATAAGTAATGATTTGGTTTCACGTTTCCGAGAAACAAGGACACTCCGTCACAATGACCATCTCTGCAGGCGAATAATTGACAAGTTGAATAATAACAGGCAAATTGTTGAATGTTCTCATAAAGCTTCTAATTGAAACATTGTGTTTGCATTTTCATTCGTGTCGATCATTATTCTACTTTCCGTTCATATTCTGGTAGTCCTGATCAGGCTCGAGGTTTCTGCAGCACTGATGTTGTGTCTGTGATGTGTTGTTTCTCAACTATCTGGTCTTTTAGCCTAATAATTATCTGCTGATAGTCTAGGAGAACGTTGCATTTGATTGTGTTCTCTGAGCTTGTTGGTTAATTTGTCAAGCTTTCGTCGTCCTTCTCGACAACTTCTTCTCCGGGGTGTTCCTCATAAAGTGAAATGATTTAAATTTTCTATTTGCATTTTCGTTTAACTACCCTGCTCCAGGAATTCCCTAGCACATTTGGTGTTTCCTCTGTCTAAGATTCCGACATTATCCCAATCAGACTGATGCCCATAATTGTCTATATGTATTGATATGAAAGAATATATATCATGTCTTTCCACAGCCTACTTGTGTTCCCGGATTCTGATTCAAAGGGGACGCCCACTTTGGTCGATGTAATGACTGTTATAATTCATACAATTTATTTTGTAACTGTTACTTATTTTATCTCCTTTTTCTGTTGAATCTTTCGGTGTGCACAATATCGAATTAAATGATTTGACTGGCTTGTGTGCTATATCTATATGAAACGGTTTCGATATTCTAGCTGTCATTTAGCCATGTATTTGAGCCTGGATATACCAAGCTGCTCGTGAGAATTCGACGATTCAACCGCCGATATACTACTCTGGTATTTTGTATTTATAATCTCACAAGCGAGGAATCGAAGTGTGCACAACTAATAGGCACTTCCGTGACTTGGATGTTTTTCGGTTGATAAGGGAGACTTCTGTCACTTTTCACCTTGGATTAAGTAATTCACAAAATATCAGTTGTTGTATTTTGTGTATAATTGGTTTATTGAAGTAGCCATGCTACGTTCAGATGGTTTGAAATGATTCGGTTTTCTGAAATGAGTTAGTATGGATGCACGGCTGATGAGCTCGATGACAATTGGTATTCTGTAAGTTGCTCCAAAACTGTTATGAACATGATATTGATACTGATTCGTCAATATTCATGCTGACAGGAGCCTAATTCATGAATTATGTGATGAATCATGACTGTGCGTCTTGTTGTCTCGTCAGTACTTATACAGGAGAATGTGATATAGTATTCGTCTTACTCTTCTAATGGATTAGTCTCGGATCTTCGACAATGAATATCTTCTTGTGTGTCTGGACGTATGTATGAGTCATTTTAGGCCAATTTCTCTGCTAGTCATTTGTATGTCTTAATTCTAGATAGCATGCTGGTAATTTTGTCAGAATTACGAGTAGGTGATCTTAGGTGTGAATGTTACTGCAAACCTCGATGCACACTTATCGAAAGTTGGGGGATAGATTTTGACGTCAGATAGTGAATAGGTGAAAATCCGAATGTATGGAATCTTTGTTGCATTCGAATTGTGGGTGCTTAGAAGTGATGTTGTCGCAAATTCAATATAATCTCATAAAAACAGTTGAGTGATGCATATTGCAGTAAATCCGTAATTCGATTCTCCACTTATCTTGTGTGTTTTCAACGGAATAGTGTAATAGGAATTTTCACGCCAGTCAATTTGTTTAATCCACGCGTCCTTCTAAAAGCTACATGACATTCAATTGTATTATTTTCTAAACAGGAGTTGACATACGCTGATATCCGTGAGTAGTTTGAACGTATTTCATAAATCTTAGCCGTATATATGTTTTCTATTATGTCAAGCAGGTTTTCGTTTCCGTAAATGCTACTGAATGGTGACGAGCACCACGTTGACTACTGTGTTGTGTAAATCTCAAATAAATCTTACACTCCGAGTACTTCGTATTTCGAAACGTGCAATCTTTGTCTGCTTACTGATCACTGTTTTGTAGTGCTGAACACTGTCGATCTTAGGTGGTATCCCATAATTTTCCAGGCGCATTTCTTTTCGTTATGGAAGTTGAGAACAACTTTGATTACAGGAGACGATATTTTAATAATAATAATAACGAATCATTATGAGGCGAAATTCAACATTAGAATTTCAGGATGATCGAATTCTCGAATGAAATACGAAAGTGAATTTGTACTTGAAAGTTATTTCGTCCCTCTAACGCAGCCACGGCCATCATCATTTGTTAACCTCATCATCGTTAACCTCAATCTTACTCTATTCTCACCAGCTCTGTCATTACTATAATTATTTTTATTGGCTCAAATTAGAACATGGGGCTTCAATAGCACCTATCCACTTCTCTCACTCTCTTCGGTCCTCTTTTGTAGGCAATAAGACTATCAATATATTCTATTCTCGCGATGTGCTTCATATCATCGCCCGACGGCTGATTCATCGTATCGTACACAAGTTCCACCGGAACAACGACCAGGTGGCGATGTAATATATGGGTCTTCTTGGCGAGTGTCGGACGCAACGTCAGTTTTCTGAACATATCTGGTGAGTGATATGTTCTTGGTTAGTTCGTTCCTACAGTTTCTTTTGTTGATTTCAACTGGCCATTTGGCTTTGAATAAGGAGCTAGGACAGCTGTTGATAAAGTCTGTAACTTATGGGAAATCTTTAATGTGTCACACATTTTCTGATTATTGAAGAAGAATTCACTGACTTGACATTTGTTTTGAAACTCTGACTATTGTTCCTCATGAGGAGTGATTGCAGTAGATTTCAAAGCCGATTACAGTGTGTCGATGTTGTACATTTCCTGTTAAATTCTGGTTTTGATATTTTTATCCGTTCCCACTGTGATTGAAACTATAAATCTTAGATGAGCGAACTGAGTGACTTCTTTCAAATTATTCCAGTTGAGGGTGGCTGGCGTTGTTTTTAGTCACTGTCATCTTGTTACTTTCATTTCCTCTGTCGATTTGGTCACTGAGAGTCACAGTGCTGAGTCAGTCTCCAAATTACTTGACAGTCAACGCTATTGAAGGCCCTTTCGAATTCGACCAAGCTGAGATACAGCTTTGACTGTCATTCTTTGCTCAGTACGATGATAGTGCGTGAAGTTTCTATATGGTGAGCCCAAAATCTTCCTTATTAGTTTGAACCAACTCTTAGTTCTGTCTAGCCGAAACTTGAACTTAATGTTGCCCTTGATAAGCGCAAAAAACTAGCCAGATATCCTGTGTTAATGCCAACCGACTTCATTCAGCCATTTTTAATAATGTGTTCAGCGTTATTTACCTTCTTTCAGCGTCTTGCTGTGTTTTACTGTATCTCGTATGATCTATCGTTGCTTTCTTGCCTGTCGGGCGACTAAGGTTAACTGAGCTCACTAAAAGTCAGTCATATGGGAATATTTCGAGAAGATATTCGCCAGATATCCGTCAGCTGAAATTAAGAGGATGGATGCTGTGTTGTAGTCTTCTCAGTAGGATGAGAATCACTCGTTGTGAATTTATACACACACCACTGATGAGTATCTAGTAACGCTAAACAGAGATAACTGAACATGCTGGTAGCCATCAATTCTTTTATTTATCTTCAGTGTTAAGATGCATCTCGTTATTCATTTCAGTGAATTATTCGTTACTACTTATTTTATCTGTAAGTAATACAAATACTAAATTTAAATATTCGACCCAACTGAGAATAGACATCCACTTTCAAATAATAAATAAATGGTAAAATTTAGAAACTATTCTGGTTTTGACTTTAAAGTAGACTTAATAGGAATATCCTGTTTACCTGAACACAATGTACTTGTTTTCTATTCCGTATTGAACCTTTCCAGTCAGTTGTATCCACCTATCTATGTCTATCTTACTTTTTCCTGTTTCACGCCTCCTGAAGAAAACAGGAGAATGTGTAGAGATTGTATGTCTGTCTACTAACATACTAGTTAGTCTATGCTGAAACTGACGACACAATATGAACCGGACATGTTGTAAACGAAGGCCACTGTAACACATCTGCTATCAAAGTCATAGCTAAGTAGATAAATCTGACACTTATACAATCATACAAAATAGTCACAGTTCTGCATTTGAATTTCAGAATACAACTTTCATTGGTTAAATTCATCATGCACTCTTGTTTTAATGATTTCACCATCAGCTGACATCGGTTAGAGAATCACTGAGAAACCTGAGGCTACTGTATGGCTGTTACGTCCTAGTTCGAGGCTCTTCTTTAGTAGGCAGCCACAGGAGTTCGAATCGAGGAACTTCCAGTTACAAGGTGGCCTCTCAGTTTCCTTTTCTGTACAGAAATTTTTACCTCATAACATTTATTATTTACTGTTCGTAGTAAACGTATGCACGTCCGCCTTCTTTATGACAGCCAGCATAAATTCATTGAAGAATCAGAGGAAAAACTCTATATTTGTGCATGATATCGTGACTATGCTAACCATGATTACCCTGAGTAAATTTCTCAAATCTTGGAGCATCCCGAAACTGGATAATGAACCACTCACTAAAGCACAAAGAGATGAATGTATTGCATAGCTATTTCACTCAATCTGTATGAATATTCAGTCGTGTTTAATTCAACAAAATACAATTCTACCAGAACATGCTAACTTGTAAAATATATCAAAACTGAAGGAGGAAGATAAGTTTATCCATACCGAACAGTTCCATTTCTCGAATAAATTTAATTCTTCCATGAGTCGTTTTCCGTGAAAATTGGGAAACAAATACTAGGTCATTCGAAATCACATTATTTGACTACATATTATCAAATCGCTTAAACTACAATTACTGGCATCTCTATTACTGGCTGAAGTTTGCAGTAGATTACTCAGTAATTAAGCGCCTACAACCGGCAATCATTCATTGTTTTCATGGTGGGAAATAGGTATTAGTGAAAGAATGACGTAGACGCACTTCTGTACCTGCTTG